AACCTGCAAAAGCCAAAGCAAATATTAATTGCATGATTGGACCACACTGGTCTAGTGGTATACACTACTGGAGTCGCCGAGACAATGACAGCGACAGTGACATGGAAGAAGGACCAGCTACCTTACCTCTATGCCATCGTCCTTGTTCCGAAACTCTAGAACCACCAGTCGCTCACAAAGAAGAACCAGAGCAGCCAAACGGGTTTCCTCGACGGTTGAACGTGCAGCTGTATGCCCACATCGCCAAGCGTGCGTATCCCGAACATGTTAACACTTGGTTTCTTGACAGCTGCTGCGGTCACCACATGGCGTCTTCCAGTCGCGTTCTCCTCAACTGGCGAGACCTGCCAAATGGAGAAAAATACAACATCACCGTTGCCGACAATCAGGTTATTGAAGCAATCATAATCGGAGATGTGATACTAGAGTCCGACGACACCAAAGTTTCACTTCACCTTAATAAGGTTCTCATCGCCACGGGACTCGGCTTCAACTTGCTATCACAAGCGCAGCTGATGGAAAGCGGCATTTGTTTCGTCAGCACTGCCAACACGATGCTCACGGAGTTGTAGCTGGGAGACAAGAAGGAAGTCAAAAAACAATTTACTTGACATCGCAGAAATTAAAGACGACGTTTCCGTTCTCCCCTTTTCACCTATTAATGCATCTGGCGACAGTGAGAAGAACGTCTCACTTGCTCCTTGGCATCATCACTGGGAGACGAATCTCCAACGCCAAGACCATCGTGGTCTTAATGTCTTCTGCGTCACGCCTCAGCCTTCTCGTACCAACTCCGTCGACGAATCTGCGGCCGAGATAATAGAAGCAGCAGAAACAAGTCAAGCAACATGGGCATCTGCAGATGGAAATTGGGGTTACGAAAATCAAGAACTGACATCTGCTACAGTTGAAGAACCTATCGAGCTTGAATGCACATGGGGCAAGAAAGAGTTAATCGTACCTGATGCTTGGGCGCGTCGCCGACACCTCGGTTTGCCTTGGGCTGAAACTGCAGAAGAAGTCGGGCTCATACAGCCTTTCGGCAACGGGCGCTGCGTTACCCCTGCGCCAACAATTCATCTTTCGCCGGCCTTCTTCCTTCACTCTGACTGGTACATGCATTCAAAGGGACACATGTCTATAGTAGAAATCTGGCAAAAGCGGTAAGGTTATCCCTCGCAAGAAGCTCATAACAATTCGAATAAATCTTCGGCTAACTTCGACCTAGCAGCCGCCAACTACCCTGCACCATCTGCCCCGGCGCTCACCTGAAGCACGCTCCATTCCCATCCCACTACCCGAGTGCTACTAAGTACTCACCTATGGATGTCGTCTTCATCGACATACTCTTCATGCCGCAGGAAGCAGATGACATCAGCGGCAACGACTACTGCTTTTTTAATTACCTTCATCTATGGTGCTATTCGACATGTCTGGCACAAGAATATCGCTCACAAGTCTGAAGCTCTCAGCACCTTCAAGCTATGGCTGAAAATCGTGGAGTGGCACAGCGGCATCAAGCTGAAAGAGATCTAGACACACAACGTGGGCGATTACACCAGCGAGAAGTTCGATGAATTCCTCGCACGGAAAGGGATTTTTCAGGCCCAAGACTGTGCCTTATGCCCATCAACAGAATGGAGTAGCGGAGAGAATGAACAGAACGCTGCAAGAGAAGATGCGCGTGCTGCTGCAACAGTCCAGCTTGACAACAGATTTTTGCCGTTTGCAATGGCGCAAGCTGTCAGACAATACAACTGCCTGTCTTTAGCAGCTCTCCCTAAATTCAGCTCGCCACACGTCATGTGGACAAAACACCTCATCAACACTCGACTATTATGAGTTTGGGGCTGCATGGTCCAATACAGACCTTCGAGCGCAACTGTGGGCAGATTTACTGAACGGGCTCGATGGGGAATACACCGTGATGTACCCAAAGGTTGCTACTCCTAGATAATTATGGGTTATGAAACTTGAAAGGTTTTGTAGCCCGAGACTGCATCTTCTACGATAATTTTTTTCTCGATGACTTCGAACGTGACAAGGAACGCCAGCAGCGGGATCCCGAACGAAGTTTCATCACTCCTCAAGACGAAGCAGATGCAGCCAAAGAATATTGTCCGCACAACAGCGCAGCAGCTAGGACCTTCTACAGTTCCGCAACCGTCTACGTCAGCACCTGAACCATTGTTCGACTCCTATATTTCTTCGACACGTGCCAACAACACAGACACTCCGCTCTTCATTCCCCTCTCAGACCCGTTGCGTCTTGCCACGACACAGGCTGCCTGTAATTAGGAGAAGCACCTACGCCAACAGAAAACTGATGCAACATCACATGACAGTGCCCGCCATCTGCCATCCGAAATTGACGATGATGACGTCGTGGATAGTTTGCCGACCTCATCCTCATGATGATCTTGTTGTCGCAGTACAGCAACCACGACTGGGATCGAGCCGAAAACAGTCAAGCAAGCCCTCTCTGGCTCCGATGCTGACAAATGGTGAGTAGCTATGGATGCAGAGGTAGCAGCTCTCGAGAAGCGGAAAACATGGAAACTCGTTCTGCGCGAAGTAGCACGCGGCAAGAATTTTTTTTTGGGGCAAGTGGGTCTTTCACATAAAGACAAATGCAGCAGGCAAACCAGACAGATTCAAGGGGAGACAGGTTGTTCGAGGTTTCGTACAAACCCATGACATCAATTACGACCAGACTTTTGCTCCGGTCAGCCGCCATACCTCGGTTTAAATTCTTCTCGCTATTACTGCTAGCCGCCATCAGCCACTTCGCCAACTGGACGTCAAAATATGCGTTTTTATACGCAGACGTGGATGCATATATTTTCGTCGAGCTCCCTCACACTTACGGCGATGGACTCCACATCTGCAAGTTACTTAAAGCACTCTACGACATCAAGCAAGCTCCTCACGTGTCGCAGCAGCATCTTCACAAAGTTCTGATTTCACTCAACTTTGCGCAACTCCCCCTTGATCCTGGAATGTACAGATTCGAATTTCGAGGACACTACATTCTTCTAGTTGCCTATGTGGACGACTTACTATACACCGGCTCGTGCAATAGCCTTTTGGCATGCATGGAGGAAAGAATCCAAACGATTCTTGAAGTTACTATTTCTCCGAACGCCACCCAATTTCTTGGGTGAAACGTTGACTGCGGCACCGATGCCATCTACCTTTCTGCAAGCAAGTACGCAGAAAGGCTTGCGAAAAAGTTCGCCATCACTCCCATCGGCCTCACCACTCCGTTTTGTCACATTTCGACCGATCATACACATGATACTACCCCACTTACCGCCTCCGAGCATCAACTTTACCAACAGCAGCTCCGGTGTCTTCTGTTTGCAGCCATTACATGCTGCCCAGATCTTGCCTACATCACGAGTCAGCTCGCACAGTACCTGCGCCGACCTGAAGGGGAGAATATGGTTAAACTTCGTCGAGCTCTTCAATATTTCATTTCTACTCCTACAATTGCTCTCAGCTACACAACAAACATTGCAGAAAATTTTTGACTGATTGGATGTGTTGATACGTATCACGCTGCTGACCCTGACAACAGGCGTTCGCGTACGGGGTTCATTTTCAAACTTGAACCAGGTCGTGTCATTTCTTTGAACTCAACGAAACAAGAGGTCATCGCACTATTGTTAGCCGAAGCAAAATTCGTCGCAGCAAGCTATGTGTCGCGCTAGCAAGCAGAATTCACTTCAGTGGCTAGCACAGCAGCTAAGGGACTGGAGGTGTGGCATGGAGAGAATGAAGGATAACGAATGGCAAAGGACACTGTACTAGTGTAGCAGGTTGAGCAATATCGTATGCAGGCAAGTTGGTGGGAGCAGTTCGAGGTGGGACCGGTGGATCGTCATCTGAGGACAAGATGCGTCATGAGGGGATCAGCCCAGCGGGCTTAGGGGCTAGTTACCCCTCCCTCGGGCCTTTCTACATGTTCCACGTGGATCGTGTAGGATGGTTCGGGTAGGTAGGAGGCAAGCTCAGAGTTCAGATGGGATGTAAATAGCTTGTACTCTACGTACTCTCTTGCTTTTTACTTGTTTGCTGCTATCATACTGCAATTGTTCCATGCTTTCCAGTTGAGGACCAGGCGGTCAGTAGAATTCAAGTTCCTAGCTAACAGATCTGAGATCCATGACGGAAGCTTGTTGCAAACAAGTAAAAAGCCCAAGGCAGGAGTAGTGGGCGATGAGCAGGAGCCCGAGCCCGGTAGGCCACCACTTGAGATCGGGCAGAAGGTATCCGAACGCCACAATGGAAGGTGAACAGGATCTTCCTGTGCATCCTGTGTACCGGGCAGAACCACGAGAAATCGTGGGAGGTGAAGCTCAAGGTTCGGTGAGCAAATACGAGGAGTAGACAGCAGGAAGTGCGGATCAATCCCCAGGGCATCGCAGCGAAGGGGGATCACAGCCTGCATCGCACCTTGGAACTCCTTCGAGGGGAGAAGATCAGCGTCGCGCAGGAGTAGGAGGATCGCACGATCAACATGCAGCAAAAGGGAATGCGTCTGAGGCAGCTTGGCGGAATCGCAGCAATGACCATGGACCAGGAAGGACCGAGACAGCGGAGCCTTTGCAGGCAGCTCGGGCAGCGGACGGTCGACCAGCGTGGCGATGCCGAAGATCAAGATTCCGGAGCGCTTCTCAGAAGCTCGGGGCGAGGAACCCACCTTGAAGAATTATGCAATGATGATCGAAGATATATGGTACTGCTGGGAGCGGGAGCAGCTGGATTCGGTGGAATTCTTCCGTGGATTGGGGAAGATGCTAAGAGGGGAGGCGCAAACTCATTATCGTATGGAAAGAGGCCGACTACTGAAGCAGTGCGAGAGAGGCTTATTCTCGGTGCGAGAGATAACGGAGCGCTTCCTTGACATTCTTCGCAAACAATTTCCGGGGGTTTCGGAAGAAAGAGTGGCTGAGTTTCAAGATTTCAAGCGAAGGAGGGGAGAATCACTTCTCGCGTACTACAACCGATTGGTCGAGCTGGCAGAGGATATGCACTGTATGGAAGAGCATCTGATGGTGAACAAGTTTATGGGGGGTCTTGAGGAGCGACTGGTGGACGAGATGCGGGCAGCCCTATACCCAATACGCTCCCGCGCGACACTGCGGCAGGTGCATCTCATCGTCAAAGTAGCAGAGGAAGGGCAGCGCTTTGTAGATGCAACTCGCAAGGTCACCAGACTGAGTGAGCGCTGCCGATCTGCATAGGTGGTGACGGAAGGAAGACGACAGAAGGAGGAGAATCGTAGTTGGTGGGGGGAAGAGCGACGAGATCGGAGGATGGAAGAACGCAGGTGCCACAAGTGCAGCGAAGTGGGACATATTCGAAAGGATTGCGCGATGGATGTGACGTGTGACATCAGTGGGGTGAAGGGGCACTTTCGCCGTAACTGTGCCAAGGACCCAACATACAAGGAATGCGGTAAGAAGGTCCACACCAGAGACGCAGTGCTACCGGCGGGGAGGGCAAGACAGAGGCAAGTCGGCAAGGGAAGCGCAGCTGGAGCAGGAGTTGCGGAGGCTACGCGGGCAGCTTCAGAAGACCGAGGTCAGCAAAGATCCCGAGAGGGCGATGCTCGCATGGGAAGACGAAGGCAAAGAATCTGAAGACGAGCAAACCGAGTTCGTGTTGGTGGCGACAGCACCACGTGATCGGACAGAGTTAGAGCTGTGGAGTGGCGGAGCAGACAGAAGGATGGAGGAGAAGGTCTATGCACGACGAACGAAGGCGGTAGCCGAGCCCGCGAAAGGGGCATCCCAAGCCAGAAGGCATCCCAAAGAACGGCTAATATGTCAAACCTCGGCCATAGTGGTGGAGCCCGGCAAGATTGCAGTCCGAGGAGTGGCGGTGGACACAAGAGCACAGAGCGCGCTAATGGGGCAGCGGCTGGCAGAGCAGCTGAAGCGGCAGGGCAAGCTGGAAATAATAGGAAAAGGGATGCGGATGATGACGGCGGAAGGAGGCCCGCCAAAGTGGATGCCGTGCACTAAAGAACCGCTGGAGATCACTCTGCTGCTGGGAGAAGAAGGCGAGACCAAGATCCGAGTTCAATGCGGGCTGCTAGCTGGGATGGAGCTCGTGTACAAAGTGGGGGCACAAATCTGCATGTGGGAGGAGAAGATGCAGTTCAGAGGCAAATATTAGAAGGAGAGCAGTGTGATGCGGGAACTGCCAGTCAAATTCGTGAAGGCAGAGCCAGGACGAGCACTTCGAGCCTCTCAAGAGGAGAAAAAAATGAAAGCGAAGACTAGCAGGGAAGGGAAAGAAAAGACCGGAGCAGAGTTTCAGCGCGCCCGGTGCAGAGTGGTAGGAGGAAAGCAGATGCAGCTGGTGGAGCTCTTTGGAGGCGTGGGGGCAGGACTAGCTGCTTCCATGGAGGCAGGACTACAAGTGAGCTGATGGATCTACGTCGAGATCGACCCAGATGTACGGCGGATGGCCTGGCATCATGCGCAGGAGCTGGTCAAGCGGTACCCAGGGCAGCTATCCGAGGCAGTGATTTGGAAGACCCAGGAAGACAATTACTGGGACGTGGGCTGCTGACAAAAGAGACGGTGGAAGGATGGGGAGCGGTGGACCTGCTAGTAGCAGGATGGGAATGCCAAGGAGGCAGGACTACAAGTGAGCTGATGGATCTACGGCGAGATCGACCCAGATGTACAGCGGATGGCCTGGCATCATGCGCAGGAGCTGGTCAAGCGGTACCCAGGGCAGCTATCCGAGGCAGTGATTTGGAAGACCCAGGAAGACAATTACTGGGACGTGGGCTGCTGACAAAAGAGACGGTGGAAGGATGGGGAGCGGTGGACCTGCTAGTAGCAGGATGGGAATGCCAAGGAACGTCCCGTGCAGGGAAAGGAGGTGGCATGGATGATAAGAGGACGTCGCAGCTGGAAGAGTTGATGACGATCATGAGATGGATGCGAACCAGGGGAGACAACTATGCGTACATAGTCGAGCACGTGGACATGGTGGGGGACCCCAGGGAGCCAATTCGATGAGTACAAGAGATAGTGACACAAGCCTTGGGAGATGGAGTAAGTTGGGATGCTGCGCTGACGGGATCACGAGCTCACTGCGTTTGACGATTCTGGCAGAACGTGGTGCCCAATGGCGTTCTCAGGAGGAAGCTGAGAGAGACAACGAGGGAGGACTCTCGTTTGGTGGAGGACATCCTGGATATAGGGCGAAAGGCAGCTCTGGTGGAGAAATGAGATCACCCGAGGCAGCATCAATGTAATCGAGTGGGAGAGGCGAGATGGGCCTGGCCGACCCTAGTAGCCTACGAGGGGGCACGGGGATTTAGAATGGAGGAGGAGACGCCGGGGCCAGGTATGGTGTTCGACCATGCCAAAGGATGGTGGGAAGAGCCAACGGCACCAGAAAGAGAACAAGCGATGGGGTTTGTGCGGGGGGCAACCGCAGCCAAAGAAGTAGGGGAGATGATGGATTGGGAGAGACGCAGCAGCAAGAGCAGCGGGACTCGGCAGAGGGCCTACATGGCGGCGGCTTCAGCAGCATGGTAAAAGCCAGAGGTGGGAGAGAGAGAATGGAGTATGGCTTCAGACCTGTTAGCGGAGGCGAAGGAAGCCATAAAGCAAATGCTGCAGGACCACAAGAAAACTTTCGCCTACAGCATACGGGACCTGGACAGATGCAATCTACGTCAACTCGAGCTCAACCTCACGACAGAAGTGCCCATATATCAGTGCCGTAGGAGACTGAGCCCCGGAGACGAAGAAATATGCCGCGCAAAGTGCAAGGAGCTGTTAGACGCGGAGGTGATCCGACCGTCGGAGTCCCCCTACGCGGCAGCGATTGTGGTGGCAGCTCGAACTGATCTCGCTGGGACGGTGCTACAGAGGAGGATGTGCGGGGACTACAGAGACTTGAACCGAGTGACGGTCCCGGACCGCTACACCATGCCGACGGCAGAGGAAATATTCGACCGGTTGGCAAATGCGAGGCTCATCAGCACCTTCGATCTCAGGCAGGGCTTCAATCAGATTGCCATTCGGGAACAAGACAAGAAGAAGACCGCCTTCTATGGAGCTGATGGGTTGTACGAGTGGAACACCATGCCGTTCGGTTTGCGGAACGCCTTGGCGGTGTTCCAACGGACTATGGATCAGGGGCTGCGAGACGTGCCCAACGCGGCCTGCTACATCAACGACGTCATCGCTTTCAGCAGCAGTGAAGACGAGCACACATGAGATATCAAAGAAACCCTGGATGGGATCTCGGCAGCTAGGCTAAAGTGCCATCCGGAGAAGTGCAAGATTGCACCAAGGACAGTGAGCTTCCTGAGATATGAAGTGAGCGAGGGACGGTTGTGCATTCAAGCCGCCAATTTGGCCGTGCTGGATAAGCTGGGAACACCGAAGGACAAGTCAGCCCTCAGAGCCTTGCTTGGCTTCGTGAACTACTGTCACAAATTCGTACCGAAATTCAGCCATTGGGCAAGCACACTGCATCAGCTCTTGCGAGAAGGTCAACAGTAGCAATGGGGAGCCGAGGAGGAGGCAGCCAGGAGAGATTTGCTGGAAGCGGTGAAGGCAGGCACACTGCTGCAGATCCCGCAGAAGGGCGCACCCTTTGTTCTGTACACTGACTGGAGCCGCTTGGGACTGGGGGCAGTGCTATGCCAGAACATTCAGGGAGAGGAGCGGGTAGTGGCCTACGCAAGACGGAGCTGCAGCGCCACAGAGGCAAACTACAGCTCCTATGAAGGGAAAGGCTTGGCCGCTATCTGGGGAGTGACCCATTCCCGAGTCTACTTGCAGAGAGGCCACTTCACTCTGATCACCGACCACCAGCCACTGCAGTGGCTGATGAAGAACCAACTGCTGACAGGACGGAACGCCCGCTGGGCTATGAGGCTACAGGAGCATGACTTTGAAATCCAGCATTGGCCTGGAAAAACGCTGCAGCAACCCGCCCCCACTGCTGAAGCCGCAGCTGGCAACAATGGCATAGGCAGGGGCTACCACAAGCAAGAGCCTGGCGCAAGAAAGGAGGGAAGAAGACATCTAGCAGGACGAGGAAGCAATGCTGTGGCTACAAGGGGAACAGATCTGTGACAAGGAGGTCTTGCCAAGAGCAAGGGTGAGGGGGGAGCACTACCTCTGGCAGGCAGAGCAGTTGCAGATGAGAACCATGGAAGGTTGGAAGGTGGTGCCTGAACCAGGCAAGAGGGAGGGCATTTTAGATCGGGTGCATTGGCAGCTCGGGCATTACGGGGGAGCACGCACCAGGCAGCTGCTAAGCACAACATACTGGTGGGCCGGGATGCAGAGGGATGTGGCAGCGTGGGTGGCGGCATGTCAGCCATGCCAGAGGAACAAAGCAAGTCTGGAGATATGCAGAGAGGAATTGCAGTCACTGCCTATCAGGGGGTTGGGACACCGGTGGTCGCTGGACCTGGCGGGGGAACTGCCCTTGTTGCGAAAGGGGAAGCAATACATCGTGGTCATGATCGAGAATACAAGCAAGTGGGTGGAAGCCACGGCACTCGCCAGCAAGAGCAGTGCTCATATCAGTGAAGCATTTGTGGAGCAGGTGTTGAGTTGATTTGGGGCATGCGGAGAAGTGTTGACCGATCAAGCGATGGAGTTCCAAGGGGCTTTTGAAGAGCTACTCAAGCGGATCGGCATCACGCACAGGTTGACATCCAGGTACCACCTGCAGTCAGATGGGCTGGCAGAGAGGCTGATTCAAACCTTGAAATGGGGGCTGCGGGCCTACAGTGAGCAGCACAAGAGGGACTGGGATCAAGAACTGCCATAGGTGCTGGCCAGTTACAGGTTTGCGCAGCAGGTAGCACTGAAGGATCTGTCGCCATACTATCTGCTCTACGGCCGTGACCCTGTGCTACCCGTAGACGCGCCGAAGCTGTTATCGGCGGTGGTGACTGCAAGAACGCCTGAGAACTGGGCGGCCATCGCCGACCGCCGAGCGGCATACCTGAGGGAACTCATGCCGGCGGCGCTGGAAAACCTGCAAGTGGCCCAGCTGTGCGACGCACGTCGATATGAGCAGTGGAAGAGAGGGCCAGACGCCCCTCAAAAGAGGAGGGTGACCGAGGGGGGAGAGTTGTTCTTGCGGCGGGCCAAGGGCGATACGCTGGACATGGCAGTGGGACCAGAGCGCTGGAAGGTGAAGGAGTTGCGCCCTTCGGGAGTCCTAGGGCTTGAGGGTGCAGAGGGTGTGCTGACACGGGAGCACATTACCAATGTGGCAGCGGTGGGTACAGCAGCAGTGCAAGGGCAAGCTGGAGGTCCCGTGACGCACGCAGCAGCAGCTCGTGCTCGGGCACGGGAGGGGGCAGAGTAGCTTGCTGCCGATGGGTTACCTGTCAGGCTGGGCAGCAGCCAGAAGAGCAAACAAAGAGAGAGTGAGCTCAGGGCAAGCCAGGAGAAGCAGAAATGAGGTGATGGTGAGATGAGCGAGGAGGGTGGAAGGGAATCACAACAGCTGTCGCGCTAGCAAGCAGAATTCACTGTAGTGGCTAGCACAGCAGCTAAGGGACTGGAGGTGTGTCGTGGAGAGAATGATAACGAATGGTAAAGGACAGTGTACTAGTGTAGCAGGTTGAGCAATATCGTATGCAGGCAAGTTGGTGGGAGCAGTTCGAGGTGGGACCAGTGGATCGTCATCTGAGGACAAGATGCGTCATGAGGGGATCAGCCCAGCGGGCTCGGGGGCAAGTTACCCCTCCCTCGGGCTTTTCTGCATGTTCCACGTGGATCGTATAGGATGGTTCGGGTAGGTGGGAGGCAAGCCCAGAGTTCAGGAGATGGGATATAAATAGTTTGTACTCTACGTACTCTCTTGCTTTTTACTTGTTTGCTTCTATCATAGTGCAATTGTTCCATGCTTTCCAGTCGAGGACCAGCCAGTCAGTAGAATTCGAGTTCCTAGCTAACATATCTGAGATCCACGGGGGGAGCTTGTTGCATGAGTAGCTTGCTGCCGATGGGTTACCTATCAGGCCGGGCAGCAGCAAAAAGAGCAAACAAAGGGAGTGAGCTCAAGGCAAGCCGGGAGAAGAAGGAATGAGGTGGTGGTGAGATGAGCGAGGAGGGTGGAAGGGAATCACAGTATCTGCAGTTCGCGAAGGACTCTATCTTCAAGAGTTACTTCAAGAGGCGAAAATCGCAACAACCCGTAACTTTAAGTTACTCTGCGACAGCCTGAGCGCAATCGAGATTGCGAACAAGCCTGGTGTCGCCACCATGACAAAACACATCGCCCTTTGATACTTATTCGTCAAGGATGAAATCGACAAAGGGAAGGTCATCCTGAGATACTGCCCTACTGAAGAAATGACAACTGATTTTCTCACGAAGAAACTCCCACACGGCAAGTTCCAGCACTGCTCCAACCGAGTTGGAATCTGCAAACGAGACGACATACCAAGAAACATACACTTAGGAATGAAGGGGAGTGTTGAAGTATACTTGGTAGAGTTACGACTTATGCATTCCTGATATAACATTTCGACTGTACTACTAGTGTGATACCTCATATGGAAGGACGTGCGTGATGACGTCAGCAGTAGCGAGTCAATGCGTAAACAGTAGGTTCGCACGTATAGTCAACCGAAGGGTTACGCCACTCAGTCACACGAACAGTCACTAGTCATATCACACGAATAGTCACGATACACTACGAAAAGATACAGTCCGAATAGGTACTTCGTAGACTATAAATATGCCAGTATTACTCATTATACTTATCCTTATCATTTCTGACATTTCCAATCAAAGATGTAAAGTCTTCCGCTGGCTTTTAATCATGGTTCCAACAACTCTAAATCTTGGCCACCCTAAACACGTGGTTCACTTTAACACGCAACACCGACTTATTTGTGTGTAAAAGAGATTGCATTATCGTGGCAAGTCTAATGCGAACCTACACGTGCAGTAGTACCTGCGCAACATTTGCCCGTTTTGGGCAGAACTGGGTGAAGAAATATATGGTATAGGTGGCCTTTTGTTTTCTTTACGGCCAAAACTTTCAACCTGACACGTGGTATTTTTGTTCGCCTCTTTTGGATTGGTTGCGAACATCGTGTGACACCTGATTGGTTTCATACGACGTGACGTCAGCAACAAGCTATATGTGCCAAGTGGAGGAATTCCCTCCAGACACATCACACCCTCTGCTCTTTTTGCTCTTGTCCCGTCCAAACTTCCCAGGAACGCCATCTTAGGCGCAACTAATTACAGGCTGCGTGCAATCTACGGCTGAAATTTTGCATAGCAATTTTGGCAAAAGAAAATGGATTGTCAACCACATGGTCAATTTCCTCACAACAGTTGTGCCACATAAGTCCCAGAATGCAGCTTCATCTTTCAACTTCCTGCTGGTACTACACTTCTTGGTTTATGAGTGACGTTTTCAAGATTTATAGAGTTGGTCCCGACGGATGAAATTGGTCGAGTTATATCCTGACCATTGGGTAATTATCACGAGTCAGCAATGTCCGTGGCGAGGCTGATCTTGTCTTGAAATGTCGAAATAATCGGGGCCGAGAGGTTATAATGGTGACCCATCTTTCTAGTTGGGCCCAACTTGATTGGAACCCTCAAGGGGACAAGTGAGCGGGCAGGAGAAAACACCATTTCGGGGCGGACATGCACTTGACAGCAAAAGTACCTGCCCGCGTGATGAAATTCAGATTTGTGGGAACGAGCGTGTTTTTACACATACTAATAGCAAGCGTGCCTCGTTCGGGCTTGTTTGTTACTGAAGTTTCTCAACCTCGATTGGTTGCAGTCCAATCAGACTCAAAATGGTGGACACGTAATGGGAAAAGAGTGGCGGGCTAGTGGTGGAGGAAAACACGCCTTGATTCAGTAGCTCAAGGTGGTGAGAATTTTGGACCAATCCAAAAGCGAGTTGTGTTCATGGGTAGTGAACCCGGGTCCAACTTGAAAGTCAAGTTGGGCCCACTTGGAGAATGACGAGGCAATGGGGTCGCACAAGCACCCGTGACCTCTGACAGCTCGCAAACCCTATTCTGAAAATTTCCGAGCCAATCATGTGCTCGTGCTTGTTCGCTCTTAACAGAGCAGCTGCACTATGGAACTGCACTGGTTCTGCCATGCAAGGAAAATTCCATTCCTTAGCGTGCCACACCGCTAACGCGTACTCCAACCCCACACGGCACCTGCCCTAGCTTCGGGTCGAACACGGCACCGAACCATTTCCGCGTCACTCCAAAGCGCTCCGCATCCTCGGATGCCTTCTTCGAACCTGCTCGATCACACGGCTAGGATTGCTCAGGTGTTCCTATACTTTATCTTGCTTCGTCATTCCATTGTACCACATTATGTTATTTTGAACCTTGACATTTGATTCCACGCTACTCTGGTGAAACACCCATAACATCTGGTATTCAGAGCTACTTTCCTCACCTACCCGCTTCCGTAGGCGGAAAACTTTTTTTTTCGGGTGGGGAGTGATTCGCTCACCGAGCTGCAAAGCGGTCGGCTGCGAATTAGACGAATTCATTCGCTCGACTACGATAGTGTTTGCGCTCTTACCTGAGCACAGGTAATCACGGATATTCCCCTGCCCACCTGGCATAGTGTCCGCCATATGGACCGAGCACAGTTCGACGAGCTATTGGCGAAATTCGCCGCCACGGATGCTCGCCTGCAAGAAGTGTTAAACGACAACGAGAAACTTTGTGCCGAAGTTACCGAACTTTGCCAGGCGCAAGAGACTACGCGCCAGAAGTCGCCCGCCCCCGAGAATGCCGCCAGCACTGGACGTGTCGAAATAGTATTGGACGAAATTGCATGCGAAGTGTCGCAGGAGCGCCGTGATGATGAAGCTGAAGCAGCAACGAATGCCGCTGCACGTGCCACGGCAGCTGCAGCAGCAACAATTTTCGCAGCAGCCGCAGTCCCACCAACTGTACATGTGGCCAAGATAAAGCCGCCGATGCCACCCCCTTTTAACCCCATGGACAAAGACACCACCATGACAGGCTGGCTTTTTGTGTTGGGGCTTTATTTCGATGCTGTCGGGATTACTGTTGATGATATAAAACTCAAACTGGCTGTTTCACAACTGAGGGGACCTGTACTGGATTGGTGGCGATCGACGCTAAGTGAGACGGGGACTTCGGCAGGGAACACTCAGGGGTTTTTTGGGAGTTCGGAATCTGCTGCCCGGGACGCAACGTCAATCTTCGGAGCAACCGAGATTCGCACATGGAAAGCATGGGGTACAGCTCTGCGTGCACGTTTCGAGCCCATATCCACCTCGGAAAACGCACGTACGAAGCTGGACATTTGGCGCCAATTGACATCTGTCCAAGATAACGTGTCATCATTTCAGGCACCGAGCTGACCAAATCACCGACCTATTAGGAGCTGAGAAAGAGAATCGGTTCATCGTACGACCAAATCACCGACGTTTGTTACGAAGTGAGGATGCGACGCCCAGCAACGTTCCAAAAGCAGTGGTGATCGCCGACCCGTACGACGCCAATATAAAATACGCGAGATTGGGTTCCCGGGAAAGAAATCGTTTTCGTGGCTAGGATCAACAGCCCTCGATCAACGTCATAGCGGCGACCGACGAAGATCGCAGGAAGCGACCGTGTTTTCACTGCCACCACTCGGGTCACCGATATGCTGACTGCCTTGACAGTAAGCAGAGGAAAAACAACGATGGGGATAAGCCAGGAAATGACTCTCGTCAGTAGCAAACGGGCCCCCTACTGACACGGCTGCATCGCCCGAGAAACAGCATCTCCACCGGGTAGTGGTACAGGTACATGCTATCGTCCGCTCTCAGACGAATAACAAGGATGAACCTGTGGATTACCCTATGCTGGTAGAAGGAAGGGTTAACGGAAAAAAGTGAAAATATTCATCGATGGTAGTGCGAGCCACAGCCTGATTCACCGACCGATGGCGAAAAAATTGAACTTACCCCTGGAGCGTTGTCTGCCCAAGATCGATGCCCGATTGGTCGACGGCACCCTGCTGAGGATACGCGATCACATGCGAACTGTTCGCATAAATTGTGGTGACAATTTCGGTTTCAGCGCGCCGATGCTGGAGACGACAATCGACGGCTACGATGTGCTGCTGGGACAAGATTGGCTTCGGCGACACAACCCGCAGATCGATTGGACGAAAGGCGAGTGCACAGTCGAGTGTGCAAATGGTCGGCAGATACTGCCCAAATGGCGAGGAGCAGAGCCGATAAGGACACGCGTCAACCCCATCACGCTGACACATGGTCAAGAAGGCGCGGAACTGTATGCCGTCCATATGAAGGAATCAACGGGTGACGATCAACCGGCCGACATCGATAAGCTTTGCACAGCGGTCCCTGAAGATCTGGCAAAACTTATTCGTCACTTCCTAGATATTTTCTCAGATGACCTGCCACCTGGCCTACCACCACAACGCCCTCAGGACCATCGGATCGAACTCGAACCCAACGCGCAGCCAAATATCCAGACACAGTGGCGACTGACGCAACCCGAGCTCCAAGAATCACGGGACCAGCTGGACTACTTGCTGGCCAAAGGGTTTATTCGACCGAGCACGCCCCCGTTCGCCGCCCTGATCCTGTTCACACCTAAAAAATATGGGGGCCTCCGAATGTGCATCGATTATCGCACCCTTAATCAGGTTAAGATAAAATATGGCCACCGAATCCCGCGTGCGGACGAACTGATTGACCAGCTGCGAGGCGTTCGCTATTTCTCGAAGATCGACCTTCCCGGCGGTTACCACAAGATTCGAGTCTTCGCCGACAATTGCCAAAAGACCGCGTTTCGTACTCGCTACGGGAGTTATGAATGCACCATCATGCCGTTTGGGTTAACGAATGCCCCCTCGACATT